CCCGGAAACCGCCGAGCCGGGAACCGATTCTCGCGCCAACCGAGCGACCGCGCGCACCGCCCCTTCCGGCGGAAGTGACGCCATCATCGGCCGCGGCGAGCCGGCGGAAACCCCGGAGGTGGAGGTGGGCGGTGTCCGCCTCTCGTAGGAGGCCAAGGCGTGGAAAAATGAAGCCAGGGAGCCGAGAAGCTCCTCAGTGGGTGTTTATATTACACCTGGGAGCGCGTGAGAAGCCGTGTGTCATCCAAAACCAACCCCCGAGGCAAACAGAGACAGTTTCATTTTACAGGTGTCGAAACTGAGACTTAGAAAAGTGAAGGCCTAGGAGGACGGGCGCGGTGGCTCAGGCCTGTAATCCCAGCTCTTGGAGGCCGAGGCGGGAGGATCGCTTGAGACCAGACGTTAGAGACCAGCCTGGGCAACGTAGGGAGACCTCGCCACTACAAAACATAATTTTTAAAAAATTAGCCCGGCGTGATGGCGCTCACCTATAGTCCCAGCTACTCAGGAAGATAGGCAGAAGGACGCCTGAGACCCTGGAGGCTGTGGTGAGTTGTGATCGTGCCACTACGCTCCAACCTGGGTGACAGAGTTCTCACTAACTCAAAAAAAAATTAAAATTAAAGAATGTGTTCGCCGGGCTCGGTGGCTCAGCCTGTAGTCCCGCACCTTTGGGAGGCTGAGGTGAGTGGATGGCCTGAGCCCGCGGGTTCGAGACCCGCCTGGGCAGCGAGACCTCATCTCTACAATAAATCAAAAAATCAGCCGGGTGTGGTAGCGCACGCCTGTAATTCCGGCTACTCGGAAGGCTGAGGCGGAAGGATCGCCGGAGCCCAGCAGGTCGAGGCTGCGGTGGCCGGGAGCGGTCACTGCACTCCAGTCTGGGCGACAGGGTGAGACTCCAACTCAAAAAAAAAAAAAGAATGTGTTCAAGGTCACACAGCTATTAAGTGGCAGAATTAAGGCTGCATGCGGGTCTTGCTGACTCTAGACACTGAACTGTTTCCTCTCCTACATAGCAGGAATACAGTCACCAGCTAACACAGCCAAAAGATCTGAAGGGAAGAAAGATGTCAGGATGACCTGAATTACACAGCTAATACAAGGGAACCTTTGCCAAGACCTTCAGTGGTCTCTCCCGCTCATCTCCCATCAAGGGGTATCTCCATTTTCCTTCCTCTGCATCTGCCTGAGTATTGGGGGGGGGGTTTTGGGGGTGGGATCTAATGTTCAAGTGGCAAAGAGCAAAAGGAGGGGGAGTCAAATTGTTGGGGTACGAACTGACAGGGTGAGGGTGGAGAGGTGCAGGGAGGCGTGTAGCACTGCCGGGGTTGGCAAGCCGGAGGTGCGCGCTGGGAACCCAGAGATCCGAGTAGATGCAAAGAATTGCAACACACAGAGGTGAGAGAAGAAAAGATTTATTTAAGAAAAGTTCACCCCCCGCAGACAGGGTGTGGGCCTACACTCTAGGTGAGTGTGGCCTCGTAGCCCCCCAGAGTCCTGGCTTAAATCCTTTTCTTGGAGATGTTGCACGTGACTGCTGTGACTTCCTTATCCACCACCTGTGGATGTCTTGGAGAACCTGTGACACAGAGACCCATTAATGTTCACCCACATTATCATAGCCCCTAGAGAAGGGTGTGACAAGGATTCTAATTCTCCTGCATCCTCCTAAATGACATTCCTTAGAGCTAGTGGACAGTGCACTTCCTCTTATCTGCTAGATATTCCCAGTGGGTAGCTTCGGGGGAGCCTCTGCTTCCCTGTGGGTAGTGCCCAATTTACTGGAAGATTGAATCCCCACCTGCTCCCCCTCTGAGCGGACATAGCTTTTGTAATTACAAGTTTCATGACTTTTACAGTCCTTGCCCAATGCATGATGTCTTAGACCTTGTAAATTCCCTTTACTCTAGGCAAACTTGATTCTACCATGAGATACCTCTGATACCTGGAAGTCTGTTTCTGAAAAGACAAAGTCGGTAAAGTTAATCAGCATAGCTTCTACTTTCTCATCATTGTGTCAGCGTTTAAGAACAAGATGAAAAATGGCTTTCCACTCTCGGTCTGTTCTTTCACAAGTGGGCCTGCAAAACCTTAGCGTATTGATATCCAGTGATAAACCGAAGAGTGCCTCACTTTGGATTGAGTAATGTGAGAGTTTAGTGCCATGTGCCTTGCTTTTATTTTTCTTCTTAGATCCTAAAGATGGTCATGAGCAGCTTGAGTCTAAGTGCCATGGAAGGTGGCAAAGATTCTTTGCCTGGCCAAACTTGAGTCAGACTCTTGAATCCTTGTTTTATCGGGGCATTTCCTGGGTAAGTCCGCTAGAACCGTCTGCTTTTGATATCTGATGAGGTTCCTCATCCTCCACCATCTCCAGCTGATGTAATGACTTACCTTCAGCAAGAATCCCTGTTGGGAGCCAGCCGTGGAGGCCTGCCTGAGCGTTAGGGATCCAGGTGGGCTGTGGACCTTGAGACCACCAGGCTGGTTCAGGAGCTGAAGGCCCATTCCCTCCTCCTTTCTTTGTTGTTTAGCATTACCCACTGGCAGGGATTTTGATGATCTAAGCATGAAGTTCTGAGAATATGACAGGCATGGCTGACTGTAGGGATCCAATGTTCCCGTTTCTCACAGGCTGCGGTTTCGGCTTTAAACTTAACACAGTTCAAACTCAGATCACATTTGGGAGCCTTATACATGATACAAGCTTCTTTATAAGATTTAAAAATATATTTGTAGAATTAGTATATACATTTAGAGAGCTGTTTCCAGCGTTAGATGGTATAGATGATTATCTAGGGTTACCAGAAATGGCCCAGCACAAACTTTGGGCTGGGCCACATTCTTTAGGAACTGGTTTAAGCCATAATTAAGAGTTGTTTATAGTACAGGTAAAATTAGCACAGATAAGAAAGGTATTAGGATTTTAGTCAGTTATATTGCTTTTGAGGAATGTAAACCAAGCATGAGGAACAGTGAGATAACTTTGGGATTGTC